AAGGTTGGAATAATTTGATACGGAACACTAACTTTGTCCGGTCGCACTTTGCTCGTTCTCAAGCTCGTCCCTCAGCCACCCGACTCTTATTTCAACTCAAAACATATCCTAAAAACGTTACTCTCGTACAGAAATGATAACAAGAGTCCTTTTAGCATGTTTAGATCTGTTAGTAGTTTTGTTGAGAACATCGTCCCATTAACGACTTTACTAGTTTGAGTAATGTGGAATAGTATTAGTTTTACTCTTAATTTTTTCTGCAGACAGCTTGTTGTAAACGATTGTTAATTAGGGGTTGATTATGCTTTTTTCAATTTCAGTTTCGACCAATTTTTGTTCTAAATCTAGTCCAGATTTTCACATTAAAACAAATCCTTTTATATATTTTCTTCATTAATTCAGAATAAAATATTTTTTGTGATTCTAGAAGAGGAAAAAACATAAAAATAAAGAAATAAATGAGCGGTTAGAGACGCAAGCATTTCTTCTGTTCCACAAAATTCCAACTTCTTTGTTAGTATGTCTTCTTCCATTTGGTAAATGACAATTATACCCAATGCTATTACACCTACTTTATTAGCACTAGTGATTCTACTTCTGGTCCCTCGTGTCTTTATTTCTTGCCTTTTTTCTTCTTAGAAACAACAAGTGGATGTCTCAAGAGATTCAGTGGCACAAGAGTGGGAAAAAAAACAGGCAAAACACATTTATCCATGAATTTTTGCAAAATTAGTTATTTTGTGTTTCGCTAAAAGTTTGGTATATTAGCTTCTTTTTATATACTTCCTTCGTCAATTTTAATTGATTTTTTTTTGTTATTTTTACATATATTAAAGAACCAACACTTAAGCATTATTTAACAATGAAATTGACCATATTAACCTCAATTTTTTTTATTAAAAATATAATAAATACTTCTAGCCTCTTTACTCCAAGGGCAACTTTAAAAAAAAAAGTTAATTACTCCTTGATATCTGAAAATCAAATATTGTTGACCATACAAAAAAGGCCAAAAATTAATTAAAGTGAACCGAATGGAATATGTATATATACCTTTCATTGAGCTTGAAATATTTTAGTTATATTAACCGTTTTAAATTACCACGTAATTAAGGAAAAAAAGGTCCAAAATTCTTCTTGAACTTTACGAAATTGGTCACTCATACCATACTTTTTAAGTTTTTATCGTTGTCTAAGAAGGAAACCAATTTAACAGGAATAAGAGAAAGCACATTTTTAATGTTGTATGATCTTGTTGAGGCGATTCTTTAAATTCTACTTCCATTAAGTTACTGGATTAAAATTTGCTTATATAATTAGTTGTATGAACTTCTCTTTTTATTAAAAAAAAAATGGGTAGGGCAAATACGACATTAGTGAAATGTCTTGATCTATAATCACTTGGGTTACCTTTTCTGCCATTTGTGAAATACTCTATAAAGTTCTTTTTTCACAACTTCTTTTTATAGAGTTGGCCTTGAATAGGAGAAGGGAAATGAAGAAATTAATAATGGTAATTGTTTCAAGCCATAAATTAGTAGAATTTCATTATTTCAAATAATGAAATTTGTTGGACATTGAATTTGGGTCGCGGGTCACCCATATGGACTGACCCGATATGTTTTTTAAAGGAGATATAATTAAGGGAAGTTACCTAGAGAAGGTTTAACTCCTAAAATAAAACTACCGCACGTTGAGAAGTAAGGGGGAGCGTGGGGATCAACGTGAGTTAGTTTTTCACGGTGGTTTTATTTTCTCTGAGAACTTCTTCTCTTTATAAATCAACGATCCCCTTCTTCAGAGAGAAACACTTTGTGATAATCTCCCTATAAAGATAGAAATACAGTAAAAGAAAGAAAAAGTTATTTAGTTCGTGAACAAGAATTTCGTTTTCAAGAGAGACGAAATCGGATTCGGGCAATTGATTGGAACAGATTCTGCAAATATCTTCCGCTGTTGTTAACAGGTATACAAATTCTATGTCCCTGTTACTCAAATTTAACTAACAATAATATCAGAGCGTAAGATTTATTTGATTCCTAGACTGTGACCGAAAAGATTGGATGAATAAATTTACATAGTACAAGTGTTACAGTGATAGGTGATCAAATTTTTTGAGAAAACGATGGCACTTACGGTCCTAATTGTGAGATTCGTTTTGCGGTTTTATTTGTTTATGATATTCCGAGTATTGTTTATTCTCTGAAACACCCAATTTTTTAAAAATAGACGTGTGCTTTGGTGGTGTTACCAAACTGTGACTGGAGAGGTTAAATAGTACTAGTTTCGATTCTCAGAAGTTTTTTAAAGTATTGTCGTACTTCTTACTTTTATTCTGCACTTGCTTATGCCGTAAGTAATAATCTGATAAAATGATCCCGAGTTTCATGCAACTTTTCATTAGCATTTCGAATCAGTTGCTGTTGAAGCCTCGCTCCCTATAAAGCCTTGAAAGTTGTATATTGCACACTTCTACTTTTATAATACATGTGTGGCTTCAGTATTTTAGTGAGACAACACACAAGCAATGATATCATTGTGCCAGTGATTAAGCTATATATATATATATATATAGTTGATTAGCTTAACAATGGAACGGCCAATTTTCTGAGAAAGAAACATTGTCTGTTTCAGTGAATTAAAATTAGTTTAGTCATAATCCCTCGATTGATATCCTTCTATAAGTAATTGTGATATATATTGTCACATTGAGTGGTTGTAGCTATTTTTATTGTTTCATTGGTCCTATTTCAGATATGGCCGAACAGGAACAAGTTCGAATTACTCCAAGTGGGAGTTCTCGAAGACAAGGAAGGGGACAACGTAGAAGGGTACGTCGTCGCAGGACTTATTTCTGTAATGATTCAGACTCAGAGCCTAAAGTCATCAGGAATGTCCCAAGGGCGAGACAAAATCAGTTAAGGGATTGAAGGGCTGAACGAAGGGAAAGAGAAAAGAAATATATGGAGTTTAAGGAATTTAAGATGGGCCCTGATATTTCCGTTCCTGAATATGTACACCTTTTTAAGATAAAAAGAGCTGAATTGGCTAATTACGTAGAAATTACTGATTGGGAAGCATTAGCTATTTTAGCGGACAAGAGTTAGTGTTCGATTGGTATATGGATGTCCTAACAAACATGTAAATTGTTATTATGTGTTTTATTTTAATGAAATTTATATTATGTTATTTGTCTCACTAGTTACATACAGTGTTTATTATAACTTTTTGTAATGGATTGACACGTACAAAAAGCGTCATGTTCACGGTGTCAAGCAACATCTAAGCGTAATGTCAAATATGATTGCTCAACTCAAAAGTGCTGGCCATGTTCTCTCTGATGAGCAGCAGGTTCAGGCAGTGATTCGGTCTCTTCCCAATAATTGGGAACATTTGAAGGTTAACTTGACCCACAATGATAGCATCAAAACTTTTGCTGATGTTGCCCGTCATGCGGAGCTTGAAGACGAGCGGTTTGGTGTTGCTAAAGCTGTACCTAATGCCTTTGTGGCAGAATCAAGTGGTACAAAGAAATCAAGCTTCAAGCACAAGAGAAACTGAAAAAATGACGGAAAGGGTAAGGAGACCGGAGAAGGACCCTCCAAGAAAAGAAACAAGCCAAATTCCAAGAAAGGAAAATGGTTGTACAAGAAGACAGACAAAGAGCAAGATGAAGTGTTACAATTGCCAAGTTCCAAGGCATTTTGCTCGTGAGTGCACTGAGCATTTCAAAACGCATCTCTTAGTGCTATATATGTTTCTAGCACTATTTTACTAACTGAATCTTATCCTGTGTGGATTGTAGATTCAGGGGCCACCGACTATGTGAGTCGCGATAGAGATGCGTTTATAGAGTTTCGTCGAGTTCCACCTGGATCAAAGCATGCATATGTGGGAAATAATGCTAAGCTTGAAGTCAAAGGAATAGGCACTTGCAGAATATACATGCATGGTGGCCGATCTTTGATGTTGCATGACGTCCTATATGTTCCAGAGATTCGATGAAACTTAGTATCTATGTCTATTCTTCTAGATTTAGATTTCAATTTGAACTTTAGTCGTAGTGGTCTTAGAATTACTCAAGACAATATTTTTTATGGTTTTGGACATCGTTATGATGGTTTTATTGTCTTAGATTGTAATCCTTCTACGTATAACTATTATGTTGACTGTTGTGTTATGGCATGTTATTCTAGTACAATGATGTTGATGTTATTACATGGCGTGAAAGATTAGGTCACATAGGGCAGGATCGAATGAGTAGATTGGCTAAGGAAGGACATCTAGGTCCTTTCTCTAAAATTGAAATGCCAATTTGTGAAAATTGTCTTGCCGGAAAGATTACACGTAAACCATTTGGAAAGGCTAAGAGAGGTGATTTTCCATTGCAATTAATCCATTCTTATATCTATGGTCCAATGAATGTGAGGGCTAGGTCTGGTGCTTTATATTTCATTACGTTCATTGATGATTTCACACGCTTTGGTTATGTCTATTTGATCTCTCATAAATCTGAAGCACTTGAATGCTTTAAGAAATATGTGAATGAAGTTGAGAACCAATTAGACAAAAGGATTAAGACCTTAAGAACTGATAGAGGGCGTGAATATCTTTCAAAAGAATTTGAAGGATTGTGCAATAAAAAGGGAATCACCAGATAGTTAACTATTCCATACACACCTCAACAAAATGGTGTAGCAGAAAGGAGGAATAGAACACTACTGGACATGATAAGGTCCATGATGGCGCAGACAAATTTACCTATCTCCTTTTAGGGAGATGTGCTATTGACTACAACTTATATATTGAACAAAGTGCCTTCTAAATCAGTTTCTTCCACTCCTTATGAGCTATGGACTGGTCATAAGTCAAACTTAAAGGATTTACGACCTTGGGGTTGTGCTGCATATATAAAAGATTCTTTTAGCAAGTTTGGTAAATTAGGTCCAAAAGGCAAGAAATGTATTTTTATAAGATATTCATAACACTCCAAAGGGTATATGTTCATTGGTGAATTAGAGGATGGAAGTGTTACTGAGATTGAATCGCGAGATGTCACATTTTTGGAAAATGATTTTCCAAAGAAGGGCGAGGTAAAGAATGGAGAGCCTCTTTGTGAAATGTTGAACTCAGATAGTCAGCAAGTATCTTCTGACACAGTTGATAATCAAATTGATCAAGATCTTATTCTTTATCCGAGTGGGAGTGGGAGTGGGAACTCTCAATCCCAAAATCCTTCTGACGAACCTGAATTTCAACTACGAAAAAGTGCCAGAAAAAATATACCCAAACGTATTATATTTTCTTGGTATCTCCCACAGAAATAGATGAGCCAAAGTCTGTGACCGAGGCTTTATCGAGCCCTGTAAAAGATGAGTGGATGAAAGCAGTGAAAGAAGAATTAGAGTCCATGAAAACCAACAAAGTCTGGGATCTAGTTGATCTTCCGCCTGGGCGTAGAGCCATTGGGAACAAACGGGTTCTCAAAGTTAAACACAAAGTGAATGGGTCAATAGAAAGATACAAAGCACGATTGGTGGCAAAAGGCTTTACTCAAGAAGCTGGAATAGATTATGAGGAAACATTTTTACCAGTTGTGAAGTTTACCTCAATTCGCTTACTTTTGGCTATTGTTGCACGTTTGGATTTGGAATTACATCAATGGACGTGAAGACAGCTTTTCTCAATGGAGAACTAAACGAAGAGATCTACATGGAACAACCTGTAGGCTTCATCGTTAAAGGCCAAGAAAAGAAGGTCTGTAAATTGAAAAGACCTATTTATGGCCTGAGGCAATCTTAAAGGCAATGGTATTTGAGATTTCACAAGGAGGTAATCTCATATGATTTCACCATGATCAATGAAGACCATTGTATTTATGTGAAGAAGCCCAATGGGATGTTTGTAATTCTTTCTCTTTATGTGGACGATATTTTATTGGCCTGAAATAATTTGGAGTATTTGAAAACTATCAAGCCATGGCTTTCAAAGTCATTTGACATGAAAGATATGGGCGAGGCTGACTATATCCTTGGAGTTAAGATCCAGAGAGACCGTTACAAAAAGTTATTGAGTCTATCTCAAGAAACTTATATAAAGAAAATGTTGGAGCGTTTTCGCATGAATGGTTGCAAATCCATGGATACTCCTATAGCGAGAGGTGAAACTTTAAGCCTTGAAATGTGTCCCAAGACTGAAAATGAAAAGAAAGACATGTCTCGAGTTCCATATTCAAGTGTTGTTAGGAGCTTGATGTATGTTATGATGTGTACTCGCCCAAACATTTGTTATATCGTAAGTCTAGTTAGTAGGTATCAATCCAATCCTGGAAGAGATCATTGGAAAGCTGTGAAGAGAATTTTCAGATACCTGAAGGGAACTGCAGATTATTCACTATGTTATAGTGGAAATGATTTATACTTGAGAGGATATACAGATGTTGATTGGGCTGGTGATCGGAATGATAGAAA